ATATATATATATATATATATATATATATATATATAGAGAGAGAGAGAGAGAGAGAGACAGAGAGACAGAGAGAGAGAGAGACAGAGAGAGAGAGAGACAGAGAGAGAGAGGCAAGCTACAGTGTAGGTGGAGAGCTAAAGAGAAGTTTAAGCAGAGCCTCTCGGTGCGGCGTGTAATACAAAGGAGGGTCAGCTGTGCATGCAAGAAAGTTTCTATGAATTTGGGGCTTTCTTTGTTGCATGCGTTGCCTCTCAGAGTACTTATAAAACGCTTATAAGGAATATACAACCGAGACAGAGCTGCGTGGAGGCAGACTATGTAACAAACAGAAAAGAAAGCAGAGGAAAGCTGCGGCTAAACAGCTCAGATGTTCGTTTTTTTTTGTTGTTTCAATGTTTTATTATTAGAGCTTTTGTTTTTGTTGTTTTTTTTTATTATTTTTAGCATCTTTATCCCCTAACAACTCACGGTTCCGCCTGCAACGCTGTTGGGGGGTGTGTAGACAAGCATCAAAGGGTGTAATTGCTGTGTATCTGTACCAAATAAGAAACAATAAAACTCTTTTAATTTAATTTTTATTGTTTTTTATCTTGAAATTCAACGTGAAACACCTGCGCATACACCCCAAAGTCTGATTTTTTTTGTTGCAAAAGATCGGCTTTGGGGTGTATAAGCGCAGGGGTCACCTGCAGTGCCGTGCGGGGCCTCAAGGAGAAGAGAGCTAAATTGTTGGGGTATAATTCCACTTTCTACATTTTATAAAAATCAATAAATATTTTTAAATGTATAACGCTTGTATTTATAAATTTTTATNCACTTTCTACATTTTATAAAAATCAATAAATATTTTTAAATGTATAACGCTTGTATTTATAAATTTTTATTCGGTTTTTATGCTGTAAAAATACCCAGCAACGCAGCACAAGCAGTGCATGGAAGCCCCGCGGCTACCTCTCACATCCTCCTTCTTCTCATCCCCGCTGCGCACGCGGAGAGGTGCGCCATGAAAATCCTCAACTTTGTTGAAATAAGTTAAATTTTATCATCGTTTTGTTTTTTTTTAATTTTTATAAAAATTTATAAATCCTTTCTCGCTCTTATTCCGCCACAATGTACACACTCGCCAAGCTCCTCGCTGCCTCTGCCCTCTGCGGCATCGTGGCTCAGGGTAAGGCCTGCAATAAAAATTTTTTTTTGAATCATTTGTTTTTAAGTGCTTTTATTTATTTATTTATTTATGTTTTCTGTGTTTTTTCATTTTTTTTTTATGAGGATCAGCGCACTTCGTGAGCGTGTGGGCCGCCGTTGGTTGCTGGCCCACCCCAGTATTCAAGTTTATTAGATCTTTGAATGTAAAAGTTTGAGTGAAAAAAATATTTTATTTTCATTTATTTTAATTAAATTCTGGGTTTATTTCATTTGTGTTTACACTTATGATACAGTGTGATGATGTATTCAGTAGAAATCTCGATTCTAATGCCTTATATCCTTCAAAATTATATATTTCATAGAAATATCAATGAAATTTCATGAATTTCATATTTTTTAATATATGCGGTGATGTNAATTATATATTTCATAGAAATATCAATGAAATTTCATGAATTTCATATTTTTTAATATATGCGGTGATGTGTTTCACAAAAATTTCAATAAATTATGTTTATCACACTCAATACAAATTGTAAAAATATGCTTCACATGTACATGAATATATTATCTTTCTTTTATATATATTTATAGTGGATTCTTTCGGTGTAGCTTATAGAAATATGCATCAAATGTAATTCTTTATATTATAAAGTTAAATTGTTTGAATTGATATATAAATATTTTATTTTTTTACTTTCCATAAACAATCTTAATTGCCTCTCATTGTTTCTACTATATTGTTTTTTTA